CATGCAGTTTTTAGTAATGTTTATCTTTTTACCATCTTTCACACTCCTCATTCTACCATCCGTTTCCATAAGCTCATCAGGTAGATGGCCTGCTGCCTCTCTCTGTAATTTTTTAGGTTTGATATGTCCTATGAGTGTCAAATTTTTCAAGTCATCCTTCCTTTTTATATGTCCCAGAAATTTCTGCTGTCTCTTTCCGATTCTAAATGTAAGTGGTAATAATGGTCTGCAAGACTGTCTTGCTAATCACTAAACAACACCACAGTATATATCCTTGGCAAACATGGACAAATGTGACTGCAATAAGATGGAGTCTCAAAAGGATGGTTTTTCTCTTGACACTGCTTTTTTTTTTAACTACCTTCACTCTTTGGCAATGTTTGTTTTAAAAAACATTGATTAGAACTGGAATAAAACCTAAACATATAAAAGTGAATTTACACATTTTTTTTTTGTTCTTGAGAATTAACAACAAAAATAATAAATACTATTTATTTATTAAGAACTATTACTATTTTCAAATTTCACAAATATAATTTAATCCCTTAACTAAAAGAAGTGTTGAAGTACAGTATATTTCATAAATGAGTACACCCCTACAACATTTTAATAGATAATTTTCTTCTAAACCAAACATAACCAGATTTTATTTCTCATAGAACATTATGCAATCAAAAAGGTTATTATCAGGTATTATGAGCAAAATCTATGACACTGGAACTAAAATGTTGCTAAAATATGAATATGTGCTTCTTCAAAAATAAGAATAGTCCTATGAAAAAAAAAGTTTATTTAAAATCAATATTTGATGTGGCTGCCTTTATTTTCTATTATTGCTTGTAGTTTTGATTACACTAAGTTCATTTGACTTGTACAACCATTGAATTTTTTTTACTCTGACAGTATGCATTCTTTCAAATCTGTTTTGTTGGATAATTGTTATAATTTTACTTTTTATTTGAGTACATTCCACAAATACTTAATTAGATTTAAATCCAGCAACATCTTAGGTCATTGAGTACTTTCACCGTTTGCTTCTTCAGAAACTGTTATATTTTATAGCAGTGTTTTAGATCATTGTTATAGTGAAATACATCTCTTCTTCCCAAGCATTTGAATGAAGGCAATGTGTTTTCTTTCAATATATCATAGTAACTTTCAGCATTCATGGTTCTCTCAGGGCAATGAAGCTTACCATTTCCATTGGCATTCATACAACTCTAGACTATGACATTTCCACCACTATGCTTAACAATACCTGATACTTTTTCTTGTTCACCTCACCATGATTGTCATCTGATTCAAATATGTTGATTGTATTTTTTTTTTTTTTTTTGTGGAGGGTCACCTAACCCCATTATGCTGTTCTAAAACATTCAGTTTTTTTTATCCTTATTCCTCTGTGCAAACTTTAAACAAGTCAGTCTTTGTTTTTCAATTTAAGTAGCAGTTTCTTACATGGCCATCAGCCTTGTAAGTTGGTCTTGTTCAGGATATATTTGATTATTGTAGTAGCAATGTTCATGACCTCATTAACAATATCTGTAACTGATTTTTCTTTGGTCTTCAACTAATCTCTTGATAAAATGAATAGACCTTGCAATTAGTTTGTATGGTTGACCTGGTTGCTTCTGTACACTGGTAGCATTTCCACTTGTTTTTATATACATTTTTGGCAACAGTGTTTTTGCTCATCTTGTGTCTTGCAGATATTTCTTGTAGAATGTAGCTGTTGTTCTTTTGTGGAAAGAAGTAACATATTCCTTTGACTCAGAAGAGTTCTTTCCTACATGGAACCATAACTAAATGTCTGCATACTGAAAACTGATTTTTTTAAAGAATTATATTTAACATTGCATACTATATTAGAAAAAAGTATTATAAGCTGAAATTCATGTGTTTAAGTATATGCTAAAAACTTGATCAACATTAGTTGCTTAATACTAAATATATTGTGAACCCATGATTTACATAATAAAATTTGATATAATGTAAGAAAAAGAACATATTTTATAGGAGCACATTTGGTATTGGAGGATAATAAAATTATCCTTTTCTGTGAGTTGGTATGAGAGTTTTAAAAAAATCAATGCAAATGTGTAAATATTTTACAAATTACGCACACATTTTTCTGGTAAGATATATACATTTTGTTTTAAAAAGTTTTCTTTCTCACTTTAAATTTAGTATGATCAGTTCTAGCTAGAAAATTTAATTTTTATTTATATCTTATGATTCACACTGAAAGAACTAATGAAAGCAAAAAAGGAAAAACTTTAAAAATATTATACAATTGAGAAATATTTTAAAATAACTGCCATATCATACACCTTTACTTTCTAACCTAAATTTCTCCAACTGACTATTGCATCTAATTGTATATGAAGCTTTGTCTGTTTTTAGTGATCTGAACTGATTTGTGTCATACTTTTTATAAGTGATACTTACATGGAATAAAAAAAAAGAAAAACACTTACTATTGCATCTCAACCATGCTCCAAGGTACAGATTTTAAGCTGAAAAATTACTTGAAAATGAATTCAAGTTGGATTTCTTTTCTTAATTTTCAGATATTACTCCTATTTATTCATTTATATATTATTTTACAAAAAAGCCCTTTTTTTTAATTCTCATTAAATTTCTTATTTGAGAATGTAGTAACAATAGTTTGACTAATGTTGAGTTTTTGTTATTTTTTTTTAGTATTAAACATGAGATTTCTTCTTCCTGAACATATAATAACTATATATTTTGTGTTATCCACTCCAGTGTTATAATCATTGAGTCAGCAATTAATGAACTGTAATCCATAAATTTATCTAAAATAACTTTATCTTCATGGATATCCCAAAATTGTTTAATAGTAATGCATGTAATAATATTGTTTGAAAATTAAGATATAAGAAAAATATAATTTTTTTTTTTTTTTGTGTTTAAATTGTTTATAGGAATCATGTGCACATAGTTATAATTATTTCTTGATTTTTTTCTTCAACAAATTTTCTTTTTTATATTTGTTTCGCTTGAAGCAAAGTGTCATCACATTAATTAATTTGATTGTACTCTTTAACTTCAAGACAGTTAAACATTCAAACTCGTAATTTGAAAAACCAAAGGATTTGTTTTTGGTTGTGCATGGAAGGCATAATCAAACTAGGAGTGGTATGGGAAGTTGTGTTAATATCGAACTATGCTATATATTTTCTGCTTTCTTTTATCTTGAATGATTTAGTTGAATACAGTTTTCCAAGCCTTGATTCCACTCCCAAAATTGCAGTACTGACTTGGATAAAGTTTGCTTCTGTTTCTGTTAGTTATAAATATTATTTGCTTACAGTACAATATTTCCTGGTCTTCCTGTAGGCTTATGTAATAAAGAATATGACATTTTTTTAATGCATCAAATTTCCTATTAAATCCTAAAGTTTTATTAAGTTTAGTTCTTGGATAATTGTCATGTGGATGCACAGATATGCAAACATAATTTAAGTGATTTAAAAATAATATGAACAAAAGAAAAAAATTTAATTCTTTATATTTTATTTTTAAAAATCAATTTTACACATAGAAATGAGTGATCAAAAGACTTTATTTAAACTTATTAACAATTATTCATTACGTGTTTTATTTTCTTGTTCCCATGGATTTATAAATTCTATAAAATATCAAATCATAAAACCAATTTTTTTTATTAAAGAATGAAAAAAAATATAAAAAGATTTCTTTGAGAGTCTAAAAATTAAAAATGTTTTTAAGCATGACATTTGTAGCAATAAAGAGATGGGGTGTAATCAGTCAGTTACTGCCATGCAGGATTCATGCTTAGGTGATCATGTATCTTTCAATACATGACTGACAAGGAGGATTTTTTTTCCTGCAGTAGGTTGCTATTTCTTTCTGCGGTAGACTAGTTGCCATCCGAGGCTATAGAACCTGGTCTGTCCTGCTATTTACCCATAGCTGGGGGGAGAACAAGAGGATTCATACCTTTCCCAAGGATATTAGCACCGAAGTGAATGATAATGGATTCGACTGGAATTTGAACTTAGCTCTCTGATTTTTCAATCAGAGCCACTATCTATTACTCAACCGTGCCTTCCAGGATGTAATCACTCTTGAATAATATCATCTCTTTACTGATTTGAAAACCAGTTGGACAAAATATTTTTCTGTTATTCTGGCCAGTGTAGTTAATTGATATTTTCTATCAACTTAAAAAGGTTAATATTATCATTTTAAAAATATCAAATTTTTGTAATATGGTTCTAAATAAGAATTAGTTTTTATTAATATTATTTTTTTTTATAAAGAAAATATAAATATAGAAATAAATTTACATTCTTTCAATGGTGTACATTTAGATTTTATTTTTTGACAATTTCTCTTCTTCAAAAATCATCTGAAATAATATTTTTTCATATCAATATCAATTTGACTTCATGCTAAGATGTAATTTAAGTGATTAGGTAATATTGATAATAGGAAAAAAATTAATCAGCTATTTTATTAGCTTTGTTAGAATTATTTTGATGGTATCAGTACAGTTTTTTTTTGATTTTGGATAGTTTTTTATTTTTTTAAATTTAAACTATAATTTTGTTTCTATTATGTTAATAAAATACTTGATCAAGTGACTAGGTTTGCAATAATGATTGCTATAATTTTTGCTAAATTTTAGTCAAGTGAAAGTTTGATCTTTTCATGAAAGAATAATTGCCACAAACAGGAATATAGGTCATTTTGAAGAACTTTGAAGGAAGATTGTTTAGAAAAAGCACTTACACAATTGAATGCAAAGTTAACTTTATTGAAACATTTATTTTAGTTAAATTTAGTTGATATTTTAAGAATAAACTTTATCTCAAAACCATTTTTTCAGTATCATTTCTTTTCATATGAAACTTCATATAGTTTTATAGAATTATTGTACTTAATTTATTTTCTTTCTTCCATTCTACATTGTTTTATTCACTTATTGTATGTATTTTTTTTTTCTTCAGGTGAACAAATGACGATCCTTTGTTATAATAAAGGAGGTGAATGGTGTGAAGTAAAAAACAAAGCAGGAGACATTGGCTGGGTACCAAGCAATTATATTGCACCAGTCAACAGCTTAGACAAGTTCTCCTGGTACCATGGACCCATTTCCAGAAATGCTTCGGAATATTTATTAAGCAGCGGAATTAATGGTAGCTTTCTAGTACGAGAAAGTGAAAGCAGTCCTGGACAACGGTCAATATCTGTACGATATGAAGGAAGGGTTTACCATTATAGAATAAGTGAAGATTCAGATGGCAAGGTGAGATAAAATTTTTCTTAACTACATTTCAAGAACTATAGTTGAAGTTTATTCATTTTATTATTACTGCACCAATTAAGCAATTTTTGTGAACATTTGACTGCTAGATTTGACAACATCCACATTGTTGCTATTCCAGCTCAAAAGACTGTCTTATTGATTTTTAATTTAGTAAAGGTCATTAATCATCTTGCTTTCTTTAGAAAATCACTCATTATGGCTGACATTTGCCTGTAGAACAGAAAATATTTTTTATTTTGCTCTACAATTTTTTTGTGCTATGGGGGGGGATGTCTAAATTCAAAATTAAAAAAAATCATTTAATACTGAATTTCAAACCTTGAAATATGTTATACCTCTAAATGTTTTAATAAGTTTACTTTTAATAACAATGATATTTTTCAAGTTATCAAATGTTAGTTTTAAAAACTATAGATAAAGCTCTATTAAGATTCAGGCTTATATTTAGATTGACATTGTTGTGCTATTTAATTTGGAGGATCCTTTCTGACTGTAAACAGGCATACATTTTATTTGGCAGGTAAATTTTTTTTTCATAAAAGATGATGCCATCTCTTACATATAGGCTCTGTGAAAACTCTACGATTTGTTGATTTAAGAAGAAAAAATAACAAGACCATTAGTTTAATTAAATCCTTGAATTATTGATATTTTTTATTTTTAGTTGAGAATGTATATATTTTGTATTTGTAGTTCAAATCCAAGCTTTCAGAATGTCTAGTATTTTTTTTTATTTTGTCTTTGATTCAGTATTAGGTTACATATATTATTTTGTTGGTTCCAAAAATGAAAGCATTAAAGTAAAATTCAGTTTGAAATTTTATAGATCTTAGATCTATGGTCATGAAAATTTTATATTTTAGTAATCTAATGTAGACAGCCATGTTTGTATAATAATCACTTTCTTAGGACCCACAAAAAATATCCTTCACTTTAATAATTCCATGTTTCTCAGAAATTCATGTCCTATATCAATAACTAGTTGATTTAAAGTTAGCTAAAAACACTTTGCAAAACTTATTAAAACTCCCTTTCATAAAGAGACTTAAGAACAGAAAATAATTTATATTGATAATATCAGTTATATGAAAAAATTATTTTATGCTTTTGTGTTTTTATGGTATTTATTATCTTTGTTGTTTTAACACATTCTCCCATGCACTCAGAGAAGCAATATTTGACCTAATAAATTAATTTAGTAGGATTCTCTGTTTGCTGCAGGCTCTCAGGTAATCAGTGATGCCTGTGCAGGAGTGGCAAATCTATTGATAATATATATATATATATATATATATATATATATTCCATTTCTTCAAATGTTGTTATAGTGGATTCTTGTATTTGAAATAGACACCCCATTTTTATTTTAAACGGTTTATATTACATCTATTGGTCCATACATTCAAGAAAACTTAATAAAAAATATGTGATATCTGACACAGATCAAACCTGTGTCTCCCTTTGGAGGAGAAGCTTTAATGCTTGACTACAGTGAGCATCACAGTCCCAAAAGGATTTATTTCCCTTTTCAAAATGTGAGTATCTGTGATAAAAAATAAAATCCATTAATATATATATATATATATATATATATATATATATATGTGTGTGTGTGTGTGATACACGCACCCACTATTTTGGAGCTGCTCTCCGTTTTCAAAAAAGGAGCTGCTCCAACTCCATTATAAAAAGAGCTGCTCTTTTTTTGATGCTCCATATTTAAAATGTACCTTCTTTCATAAACATTAGACATTTTTGCAATTAATAAGCTGGTTATGAGATATTTTGGTACTCAAATTTAATAGGAACCAACATTTAGCCTGTCAGTATGCTCATTACCCATAAAAACATACTAAAGTTCTCCCGATGTACTTATAAGGCATATGTCATTCCTAGCTCCAAAAGAATTACCTTAACAAACAGCAAATTTAGTTTTACAAATTTTATTTTATCATAAACTGGAGTTTAAATTTAGTAAGTTATTTTTTTAAATTTTCATCTTTCAAGCTGCAAGCTGTGACAGTTTTTTGAAAAATTCATCCTCATGGCTAAACAGTCTCTCAACAGATGCTAATGAGGGAATGGCTGTGTTGAATTCGTGAAATAATTCACACATTTCTGGATATTTGGCCAATTCATCAATTGTTGCAATTCTAGCACTTGTATATTGGCATCAAACAAAAGAGATTTAGGGTAGTGATTCTGATTGGCAGAAAATTGCCATTTCTGCTCTGCTGGTATACGGTGAACAGACAAAACCTGGGGGCCTGGCAAAAATGCATCACAATAATTAAAAAACGGACAAAAGCTCAACAGCATAAAAACCAATTTTAAAAATTTAAAAAAAAATTTATATATTTTTTATAATTACTAATGATATTTATTGGTATATTTTTTCCTGACAATTTTTTTTATTATTTCATTTTTAATGTAACATTTTTCCAGTAGTTTCTGTATACTGCATTCTTTTAAAGATTACATCCTAATTTATGAATTAGGATTATTAAGTGTTCTTATTAAAACCAATGATAAAAACAAATAAGACAGGTACATTCTTAAAAAGTCACTGTTTTAAAGTTTCTTTAATAAATAACCAGACAGACAGACACCTATTCATAAATAATATGGTGCCTGGAAAATTCGGTAATGGAGAAAACTGTAATTTTGACAATGTAGTAAAATTCGGTAACTATGAAATAAAAGTCGATTAAAAATTGATTTTAAAGTAGTTTTGAAGAGGGAATTTGGGGGTCAATCCTCCCTCCTATGTTTTTAAATAACTGAAAATCGTGGGGACCAGAAAAAACCCTATAACAATAACAGAGCTATACTTGCAGAAAGGAGGTAGGGTGCTAGGCCTCCTTCTTACAATATTTTTTTAAAAAGTATTATTAAAATAATAATTTGAAAAGAAGATACAAGAACTTAACTTTAATGTATATAAATCGATTTTACTTGTTTAAAAAATATTTAAAAATATTAGAGGAGGTCTTAGCCCCTAATCCCACCATTCAGAAAGTATGGCCCTGACATTGTTGCAGTGGTGCCCGGAAAATTTGGTAACAGAAGATTGGGTAATGGAAAATTCAGTAACTAACTGAATCTTCTGCTACCGAATTTTCCGGTCACCAAACATTTGGCATAAAATTTCAATTTTATGAATTTAGAAAAATTTGGTAATGGAAGATTCAGTAATTTTGACGAGGTAGGAAAATTTGGTAACTATTAAATAAAAGTCAGTTGAAAACTTGATTTTATGGCCATTCTGTAGTTGGAATTTGGTGGCTAAGCTCCCATTCTCTATAATGGGATCTAGATAAAACCCCACTACAACAATAGCAGGGCTGTACTTGCAGAAGAGAGTGCTTAGGAGAGCTAGGCCTACCTCCCCAATATTTTTTTAAAAAGTATTACCTATGGGACTGTGTAGAAAAACCCCACTGCGACAATATCAGGGCCGTAATGTCTAGATTGGGGGTTTAGGGGAATAATTTATATATGTTAAAAAGTAAATTAGAATTTTGTTTCAGGACAAAAAGTATCTTTTCAGAACAAGAATCAATTTTATTCAACATTTGGATGAAGAGAAATAGGCCAGAAAATCCATTGGATGTTATTACCTGTAAAGATTTCATTTATTTTTTAATAACTTTCTTTAAATAATATTGATGATTATAATAAATAATAATGGCAAAATTGTGTACAAAAGTAAATCGTCAGTAAATTAAAAAGAAAACATTGGCTTATTTATTCATTCAGCAATAAAAATTTGTTATAAAAACAAAAAAGTTCAAACCTTTCTCCCCCCACACCAATATTTCCAGACAGCTTTTATACCTCTCTCTCACCAATGCTCATGCACACATACATAAATATCTAATAAAAAATGACATCAAAGATTTTCTCTAAGGAATGACTGACTCTTTTGAAGACATTTCTTTCAGAATGTCTAAGAGACAACTTAAAAGTAATGTCCCTGACATCAGAATGGTAATACCTAGGTGTCAAAGTCACTTGCCTCTTTACCAAAACCGGGTAGAAGTTGAAATAGTTTCCATTTTCATGTGTAACTAACACACACACTTTCTCACACACACACACACACACACACACACACTCTCTCTCTCTCTATCATACATTTACCACAGATATAATAATAAAAATAACTCAGAGTTTAGCACAAATTTTCTTTTTTATTGTTGAATACAAACTAATTTTTTAAAATATTCAAATAATTTTGGAGCACAGAGCACAACCTCCCATCCCCGCTCTTTAGTTCCAAATAGAGCTGCTCATGCTTCACTCCGATTGAATATAAAATGACCACTCTTCTCCTTTGCTCCAGTAAAAAAGAGCATGTTCCATTTTAGAGGGCTCCGTAAAGCTGTGTGTGTGTGTGTGTGTGTAATATATATATATATCTATATGTCTTTGCCGACGCGTTTTGTCTTCTGACTTTTTCAAGGCAAAAAAAGATATCGAAATGTTTTTGTTGTTATAGTTACATTAAAATTCAAAATTAAAAAGACAGACGCTTGTGTCTAAGACTTTTTTCTGGTTAATGTAAATTACCTTTATAGTAAGGGATTATTATTATTATTATTATTTTTTTTTTATTTTAAAAAAAAAAAAAAAATAATAATAATCCCTTACTATAAAGGTAATTTACATTAACTAGAAAAAGGCTTAGACACATTTTGTCTATCTTTTTTAATTTTGAATTTTAATGTAACTATAACAACAAAACATTTCGATTTTTTTGCCTTGAAAAAAGTCGGAAGACGAAACGCGTCGGCAAAAATGTAAGATTTTTTCCAATTGTCATTTGATACCAATCTGTCTTGTCCACAGAATTCATCTGGGAATTTAACTATATATATATATATATATATATATATATATATATATGAAGAAATATACTCTTACGGTGTGCTATGTTTATAGGATAAAGTGCTCAATATCAAAGATAGTGTGTGTAA